CTCATAGAGGGCAGGGATGAGTTATTATTCCATGTTATCCACAGTGTTTTATGCATGTTAGATACATAATCCGTATTTGTTTGACTTAATTTATGATATTGAGGTTCCATATCTAAAGACATCATTATATCTCACTGAAAGTCTTTCCCCTGGAACTTTGCTAAATATGCTCTAATGTGGCCTGAGTTTGATCCTCACATGTTATCTGCATCCATTGGGAACCTACTATGTACAGTGTATTTTTTAAAATATGGATTTTGTCATTCCATCATATCGTAAGCATGTTGAGGCTAGGTCTATGTCTCCCACTTTGCATCTCGCACAATACTCTGTTGGGAGCAGGACAAAGAGTAGGTGTTTTTTAAGTTTGTGAGAATGGTAAAGTTTCCACTAAGGGGTCAAAATGGGGTTGCTGTGAGGTACCAAAATGAATTATGAGAGTGACCAAAATGCAGAATATCAAAATGAATACAGATAACGGTGTTTTTTAAGTTTGTGAGAATGGTAAAGTTTCCACTAAGGGGTCAAAATGGGGTTGCTGTCAGGTACCAAAATGAATTATGAGAGTGACCAAAATGCAGAATATCAAAATGAATACAGATAACAGACTTCAGGCTTTTGAAAAGTGTGTAGTCATTTCAAGGGTACGTGAACATTCTTGAGAGGCAATTTGAAGGAGAGAGTCTACAAAGATGTTTCCCTGGAGAGACTTGGTGTGGTGGTGTGAGTTGTACCCATCCCCCAAATTTAGGGTTGGAAGCGACATCCCAACCCCAAGCGGAGTAAGAGTGTCTTCAAGGAGAGACCCAGTGTCACCTAAACTTAAATGCAGGTCGGGGGAGAAGAGAAACGGGCAACTCAGACTAGATACTCCACCTACCGGAGGAATCTAAAGACGAAAGGGTTTAGCTCTTAACCTGAGGAAGCAGGAAAGAGAGAGAAAGAACTGCTGCTGTGCTGTGCTGGGAAATATATGTGCTCCCCTCCAACTGCAAAGCAGGGGACGGAGGGAATGTGAGGACAGCCTGTCAATGCAGAGGCAATGCCCACCTGCCTCACAGCTGGAGGACAGAGCAGAGGAGGAGCTCATAAATGGTCCCTAGAACAAATATCAACTTTAAACACCTGCCAGGCTCAGGCAGCATGGAAACATATGACATTAGCACCAGTCAGGTAAAAACTCTCTATCCCTCCGTCCCTTCTTTTATCCATAAACTCCAGTCTTCTGGGGACCAGATACTTAGTTAGAAATCTGGGGGTGGGGACAGTGGAGGAACAGGAAAAGAAGGAAGAGGACTTCCACGTCTTCCTTCAAGACAGCCTGAAGTTGGCTAAGCAGACAAAGGAAGAAGTTTAATTCTAAATTGCACTGAGACTTTTGATCATTATATTCTAATTACAGAAAAGTCATCGGTCTGCTGGAGATTTTATCCAGAGGCACGGAAGACCTTCCTCCCATTAAAAATCTTTAGGGAGAGTGGGAGAAAAAAATAGTGCTTTGCTTTGTTGTTACTTCTCAAAATCTTGTTAAAATCAAATTTAAGTAAAATATCTTCTAATATAAAAGTTTAAACTTTTCATAAATTTACTTAAATTAAACTTGCATTAGAACACTCCTTTAGAATATAGCTTTACCTGTAATTCCTGTGTTAGTCCTTTATACCTATAAGGATGATAATATAACAAATAGAGTAGTTCGATTCAGTTCTATTTATTCTATTCATCAAACATTTGATAAAACATATTCTGAATACTATGCAGATGCTGTGGGATACTCTAAGTAAGATTTTTAAATGTTTATTGTTTTCACAGAGCTTAAAATATTTTTTAATTTAAGATGTTTGATGAAAATAATCCAAGTTCAGTAAAATATAATAGGATCTAATCAAGAGCCTAAATTTATGGCTCATAAATGGTAGTGGATAGCCAAAGATCAACATTGTGTAAATTTACCAGGAGCTATACACAAAATAGAAACTTTGGGCTTTGGACCAGATTAAATGCACTGTAAAAATATTTAATCACTTTGAGAAAGTCATCATTAATTAATTCATTCCAAAATTAACTAACCTATGCTGAAGATGAGCCAGGCACTATGCTATGGTTTAGACACAAATTGGTGAATACACATACATTTTTCCTTTTTTATTGGAATGCACAATCTAATGAGGTTCTACACTAATATGCTGTCTAAGTCAGTCTCTCATTATGTAAAATTATGCAATTTATGGGGCACTACATATGACCACACTTTATAAATAGTCTTTCTCAATGACTACAGTACTATTTGAATTTTGTCATTAGAGGGTAGGTCTTTTGGTTATTACTTTTTAATAACAGCCAAAACTTATTGGGAACTTATTATATAGCAGACAATGTTATGAGCATTGTATATGTCTTAACTTGCTTATTCTTTAAAAGAGCACTGTGATTTAAATACTATGATTAACCCCATTTTGTGGATGAGGAAACTGAGACACAGAAAGTGAGTATAACCCACTCAAGATCACACAGCCTAGCTGGGATTTAAATTTAACACTATCAATATAGGAACCTTTTAATTAAATTTTTAAAAACACACATTTAGGCATAGAGTTAAATGGGAAAATAAGACACATTAGGAACGACAATAAATGAGAGTGCATTACATTTTTAATCAAAAAACCGAGAATGTCATATTGAATTTGAAAAACCTAGTTAATTTAGGGTCACGTTGTAGAAGTGCTTTGGAATTTAGACTTTAATGTTTCTAAGCATCAGTTTCTTCTGTGAAAGAGAAAAATATATGCCTTGCAAACCTCAGAAGACAGTGGAGTATAATAATATGGATAGAGGTGTTGGGGAAACCATAAAGGGCTATACATATATCAGTTTTTACTTTTACTCTTTGTTTATTTGAAGTTAATTGGAAAAGCAATAACCATCACTCTTAAAAGGTGTTGTATTTCTTCTCATTACTTTGATTGAATTAATTCCAACAATTCTCTAATCGGGTCTATTTCTTTGACCTGGAATCAGGAAAAAGTAAAAGAAGTGAAGTCAAAATCATAAGCATGAGCTAGTTATGGGATAGATGTCATGGTTTATACTAGACTTGTGGCAGAGGAGGAAGTGGGGCCTTCCATTTACCTTAAAAGCCTTTCATTGTGAGAGTTGTCCAGAATGTCTATATAAATATGGCAAACTTTGGTTTTGGGAGTTATGGGGAGGTGCTAACAAGACAGAAGGCAAAATGACTGTTTCCCATTAGAAGAGAGTGATATCAGCAGCCTGGGAAAGGATAAACAATATGTGAGAAAGGAATCCCCAAATACATAATTTGTATATAGCATCACTTCCAAGAGTTACATTTTCACCTTGTTTCATTTTTATGATATTCAGTGCTGTGAATGTCTGACAACGGTAGTTTGAATCAATTAATATATTTGCAAAATTATCTATTTCTGGAGGAAGAATTCAAAGTCTTCCATGACTTCATTTCTCTTCACAACACACGTGAAATGATACAATCAATTTTAATTTTCCTCCATCACTATTTACATTTTACACCATTACAGTCCTAAGCTTGAGATAGTTCTGCACTTCTGCAAGATCACACAGGAAATGACATAAAGCCTCTATTTCTGATCTGAATATGTATACAATTTTAACCTATTCTTTATCATTTAACAGGAATCCACTGTGAAGAAGACATCAATGAATGTTTTTCAAACCCTTGCAAAAATGGCGGTACTTGCGAGAACTTGCCTGGGAATTATACTTGCCATTGCCCATTTGATAAGCTTTCTAGAACATTCTATGGAGGAGTGGACTGTTCTGATATTCTCCTGGGCTGTACCCATCACCAATGTCTAAATAATGGAACATGCATCCCTTACTTGCAAAATGGCCAGCATGGATTCAGCTGCTTATGTCCACCTGGCTACACTGGATCACTGTGTGAAATTGTCACCACACTTTCATTTGAGGGCAATGGCTTCCTGTGGGACACAAGTGGCTCAGTTACAACCAAGCGCTCAGTTTGTAACATAGCCCTCAGGTTTCAGACTATTCAGCCAATGGCACTTCTACTTTTCCGAGGCAACAGGGACATGTCTGTAAAGCTGGAGTTGCTAAGTGGCTACGTTCACTTAACCATTCAAGTCAATAATCAGTCAAAGGTGCTTCTGTACATTTCCCACAACACCAGTGATGGAGAGTGGCATTCAGTGGAGGTAATATTTGCAGAGTCTGTGACCCTTCACTTAATCGATGCCTCTTGTAACGAGCAATGCATTGCTAAGGCTCCTTCTCCATTTGGAAGCGATCAATCGATATGTGCTTTTCGGAACTCCTTTTTGGGTGGCTTACCAGTGGGAACCACCAGCAACAGTGCTGCTCTGCTTAACGTCTATAATATACCATCCACACCTTCGTTTGTGGGCTGTCTCCAAGATATTAAAATTGACCTGAATCACATTACCCTGGAGGACATTTCATCTGGCTCGTCATTAAACGTCAAGGCAGGTTGTGTGAGAAAGGATTGGTGTGAAAGCCAACCTTGTCAAAACAGAGGACGCTGCATCAACTTGTGGCTGGGCTATGAGTGTGACTGCTACAGACCCTACAAAGGCCCAAACTGTCTGAGAGGTGAGAGAAGGCAGGGCACCAAGGAGTGCCATGCCTCGGAGCAGAGCAGGAACAGCAAAAAAGCTGGTCTGCTTCTGCCTGTTAGGAAACATAATGACCCCTCAGGGCTTCTGCTGCTGGTTGGCCACTGTTGAAAAAAAAGAAGAGGGAAGTGATGTGCATTGATTGATTTTAAGTAAATTTGTAGAACATCAGAATTTCACTCATGCAGAGAAGTAAAAAATAAGTGGATATCTCCCTTCCAAATGAGTTTTCATCTGGGTGTTTACAAAATGCTATTACAATTTTAGCATTTGTTGTGTAGCAGAAATTTATTTGAAATATTATTTGAAAGAGAAATGATTTTTTGGAAGAAAGGACGTTTAGCCATGAAACTAGTCACTGCCACGTAGTAGCACAATATCTTGTGCATAGCAGATTCTTGGTAAATATTCACTTCCTTGCTCTCCTTTCTATGCAATTCACACTTGCTCCTAAATCAGACTTTAACTTTAGTATTTTTATAAGACACCAGTTTTATTCAAAGGTATCTTTTCCAGGGTTGCATGGAAGAAAACAGGTATTCTACTTAGATGTCTTTAGAGAAAAAAGAAAAAAAATATGAGAAATAACAACAGCAAAACTTGGTAGATGTCATAAACAAATTGATCTAATTTCTCTAGCAAATCACAGTTTGAAAAGCAGAATCTTTAACTTCCAACATCATTCCAAAGATTGCTGTGGATAGTGATCAATACATACCTGTTTCTTTTTATTATTATTATCATGCATTGCAAAAGTCTGAGAGGTAATTGTAACAGACGGCTTTGAAGTTCAGCCGTAATTTACCTCGGGATTTTAGAGTGACTTGAAGTAGGACGACATCTGGTAAATAGTCTTCTCTGCTTTATATGAAGTAAAATTAAAACCAGTCTTAGCCTCTACCCTATTCCATGTTCAAATGGCTGAGAATTATTAGAAACTATTCGCGGGTTTCCTCTTGACCACAATACTCATGACAAATCACAGACCTGTTTGACAACGAGGTATGGCATGCACTAGCTCTATGTAATATTTTACACCGAATGGCAAGTTGTTTTGTGATTTCCTTAAAGGAGAAAAGAGAAAATTATGCTGAGGCAATGTTCACTTTTTGAAGAAAAATTTAATTGACCCGAGGCAATATTTTTACTACATATACAAAATAACAAACAGATGCTGACTCATTTTGACTGGCTTCCAGATGCAGTGACCCATGAGGTTAATACTGACCGTGGTGATGCTAACTGTCCTAGTAAATAGATTCAAGAGATGTCAATCCAGGGGGCTCTGGTTTTCTTTAGTTTATTTTTTCCAACTTGGAAAATCATGAACTTTTTAAACCAAGTTCCTAAATTGGTTACCCTCCCCCCACTTTCCCCAGTTTCTTATACCCCCACACTATTTGAAACTATTTAACCCTCATGAAAATGTTTGGCTTCAAAAGATTACTTTGTAGGGAGGGAGTTCTATAAAATCTCTTCTTTCTGAAAATTGTTAGTATAAATTTAAGGAAAATTATATTTTTCATATCACCTCTTAGTCATAAAATTAAATAATTCTGCATTTGCTGTTATCTCTGAGGAATGTTTTTCTGGAGAGTTTATTCCCATTACAAAAGATGCTTAGAAGCAGTAGTAAACACATGGAGTTTTCCTGACGTTGTACATGTATATTCAAGAGGGTGAGACACACTAAAAAGCACAAAGGCAAACTTTATTCAGTTCATGATTCTGGCTCAGTGTTTCCCAACCATGGTACGCATTGCAGTGAACAAGCAGACTGGATAAAGGATTTAGTTGACAGAAGACATAGAGATTTCATAATATTTTAAAGTTGATCTTTTTAATAAATCATCTAATCTCTTAATAAGGAGAGTTCTGAAAAGGCTATCTCTAAGCTTAGTTCCCAGAACTGTCTGTAAAGTTATTTCAACATATCTTGTGTTGGCTCTGTACAAAAACATGGAGCTTCCAAACTATTATTCAGAATAAATGCATATTGCCCTCTGGAGAATATTTGATTTATAGAAGCAATTTACTTATGTTTTAGCTTCAGCCATGCACCTAGACTTTGAGAATCTTGTTGTCTTAGAATTACAGTTTCTTAGGTAGAGAAAGGGCTTTATTCCATGACTGATTTTTTTACGCGATTGTGCCTGCCAAGTGCAGTGGCCCAAACCTCTGATTAAACACCTCGAAGAACTTGCTCACTTCATCTTGCCAAAAATTCCTCCAAAGTTCTTTCCTTATATTTAAATAAAATATGATTTTTCCATAGCTTTCATTCACTGACCACATTGTAATTCTCAAAGACAAGCAAATAAAAATCTCAACATCTCTTCTTCTTAAGAGTACTTAAATAATTGAAGAAAAGTATCTTGAACCATCCAAACCATCACTTGTATCATGCTAGACATCCTACATTTTGAATGTTTTCCATATGACTTAGTTTTCATACACTTCATCAGCCACTTGCTTGCTTCAGAATACATTTGCGAATCTATATTCCTCCTAAAATGTGGTGCCTGGATGTTCTCAAGGATGCAGAGTGACACGGGACTATAATCTCTCTCACCCTAGATAATGTGCTTCTATTTTGCAGGGTGATATTATGTGACTTTTTGGCAGCCACATTTTGTGATCCCCTTACTTTGAGTCATTGTCACTCATGACCCCACCCTAAACCTAGCAGGCACTTTTAGATCTAGCTGGCTTTTATTTTTTTT